AAGGATGGATCTTGACTACCTATGTGATAGGGAGTTGGTTCAAAAGAGCTATGATCAAGGTGATGAGAATGTCATTAACTTTGGGGTTCAAACCAAAGGAGATGAAGACCTCATGGAAATAAGTGCTGAAGAGTATCAAGAGAGTTTGACTCTGTGTGCTCCATGAAGATCATTGATCAAGCTAGTGAGAAAAGTTATTTAGGTTCTTGAGTGGACGGCCTATTTGATCAAAGTGTTCAAGATTGAGTCCATTGCTACACAATTGGATAGGTTGCAAACTATCTTAATTGTTTCGAGTGTTTTCCAATCTTTTGGGAGTCAATAAAGAGAATTCTACAAGTTTTGGAGTAAATTGGAGTTTTCTACAACTTAAGGGGCGCAAGACCAATATTTCACTTTTGGAAGGGCGTTCAAGACATTTTACTTCAATAATTTGGAGCTGAATTTCGAGATTAGAGTTAGTCTAAGTCTAGGAGTCAATTTTCGAATTTTTATCTAGTTAAATAAGTCATGTGGACTCAATTAAACTAGAGTATTTTGATTAGGAGTCTTAGATTCCTTCTAGATATTATCCTACTTGAGGATAAGTCATTTAGATAAGGTTTCCTAGATTTTAGATAGAGTCAAAGAGATCAAGTACTCTTCTACTTTTACTCCTTGGGAGATAAGATTAGAGAGTCCTAATTGGTCTTCTTTTTACTGGTGCTGGCCGAAAATTCAAGCCTATATATAGGGGGCTTGGCCGAATTTCTTAAGCACCCTTGAGTGGTCATTTTTGTTCTCTTTTGAGAGTTTTTCCTGTGAGGAATTTTTGTTAAATGGAGTGTCCATTTTTTGTGTCAAGTATGATTAAACCAAGAGGGTTTTCATCTTGTCTTGGATCTTTTTGATCTTGCAGAAACCATTCTTTTTCAAGTATGCTTCTTGATAGAATTGTTTTAAAACTAAACTTCTTATTTTCATACTACTTCTAGTAGTTCGATTGATGAGCCTTTCCTTTGGTTTGGTGTTCGAATTTCATGATGAGTGTGTTCATCAGATCCATTGTAGGGTTTGTCCTACTTTTGTTGGATGAGTTGTGCTTTGGCATAAGCATTTTGAGATAGTGTATGTGTTGCATATCTTTGGTTGATTATGAAGATTACTAATCAATAGTATTCCTTCATAGTTAGGCATTGTTTGCTCCTACCTTTCTTGAGTCTCTTGATAGATGACTGATCGAGTATATTGAATGGTGTCCTTGCTATTCTTAGCGTGGGTTGTTGTTTAATTTGAATCTTTCATGGATAATGTGTTCTTTGCTTGGTTTGAGTTAAGAGATAGAATCACTTAGATAAACGATCGTCTTACTGTGAATTTTCCGCACTCTTTTGAGTTTCACGGGATAGAAAAAATTATCTTCGTACTTTCTTGTTGATGGTTGCATTAACGAAATTTGCTTCGTCTACGAGATTGCTATCATTGACGTTATCCGAAAGGTTGATCTCGTTTTCCTCCAAAACAGTGGCGTCCCAAGCATCCTGTGATACTTTGCTTGCACTCTTTTCCAGCATCTCGTTGAGTTTCTCTTTGGACAAACGACGTTTCTCAGGAGATGGCTGCAGTGGACTGTGTATTGAAATCAATTGGAATTGTGCGCTTTTCTGATTCCGTTAATCCTGAAGAAGAAGCAACATTCTTCTTCAATGGTTCAGAGGCTGAGTTCAGCTTTTCCTTAGGCTTCCACACATTCTTATCCTGCTTCTTGACAGTCGGAGCAAGTGGAACAGTTTTCTTCATTACTGCTGCTTCAGGCTTGGTTGATTCCGTCTTTGATTCTTTATTCTCTGAAAAGCCTGCAACGTTGGTTGGATTTAATTTACATGATTTCACCGAGTGACCAACCTTTCTATAGTCAGTACAATATGCTGGCAAATTTTCGTCGAAAACAGGCTGAAAATAGGAGATGCCTTCAACTCCCAACCGGATTCGCGTCGACAGATCTTTAAGCAGATTAACCTCTATACATACTCGAGCAACAGAGGGTCTTGACATATTAAGCGTTGGCACATCAATCTTTAAGGGCGTTCCTATAATATCAGCTAATTTCCGGAGATAGTCTTCGTTGAACCTGTGTATAGGCATGCCCTCAAAAGAAATCCAAACTGGGACAATTGGCGATTCATAGGCTGGATCAAAATCCGTAGTTCATTTCAATACACACATTGAATACTTTTCAAAAGCCCACCATCCCTTCATTCAGCATCGATGATAATCTTCATCTAAATCAAAATATATGAGCACATGGCGATAATCAATAACCCCCAAAGAGAAATTACCTTTAAATCCGATCGTTTGAAATTCTCGCCACAGAAAATCCATTGAAGGTCTACCCTTTGCAAATTTACCCACAAGGGCCAATTTAAAGGGAGCAGCAAGCATCTCGCCTTCTTCCTTGGTAAGCAAAAAGGTTGGCTCCCCTTTGTACAAAGTCAGTTCAGAAACGATTATTGGTTTTGGACATTCAGCAGGCTTCAATTGTGAGGCAATTTGTCGAGGGTTGGCTTTAGGTCGGCTTACCGCTTACGCAAACGACATCCTTTTTGAGTCCAGGACTCCATCCGGTGGCCGATTCTCGGCCATGATGGCCGGCTGCTGATGTCGGGAAAAAGATGTAGGGTTCGGATAAGTCTAGGGTTTTTAGAGAGAAGGAGGAGATTAATTTTTTTTGTTTAATTGTTATATTTTAAGCACATTACTTCTCTATAAATTTAGATTTCAAATTTTAAATATTTTATATGTAACTTTTTATCAATAAATCAACTATGTTAGGATCTCAAATTTTAAGGAAAGAAAGGTAATTGTGGAATAAAAGAATAAGATTGTCGAAAGAGTTCGGTTATGATTTTAGAAAATGATAATTCTCTTCATTTCTTCATATGGCATTTTATATTGTGCATTGGTCATATTTCTACAGCCTCTCGATTTCTTTTTTGCTGTTTTGAGCCACTACTCTGGATCTTGATGGAATTTATTATTTTTCTTTCTTCGTTCTCACCAAAATAAAATCTGAAAGAAAACATAAAATTAATTACATATAAAGTAACTTACAATAATAGGAAAAACGCAGATCCTTTTAAAGTATACCATTTAAGAATTGAATTTAACGTCCATTCTGTAATATTACTTGTTTGCAAAAATATATCTAATCTAAAATGCTTTTAGTTGTTGGCCAGAATTTCACTCAAAGCTGATGAAGAGATAGAGTCAACGGAATATTCTATTTTCATAACATTCAGTCAAATTGTTTAAAAACAAAACTTTCGGTTCAATTTGTAGTGAATCATTGTTTGATAATTGATTATTTAATGGAAAATAAAATTTGTCTCAGCAGATTTATCTCACCATTGCATCTCACCTTACATGTCAACTAGATGCTTGGCCCGGAAAGATGCCTGGGTGCCCCATCTAAATTACTATTTATTAAAATCTAATTGAATTACTATTTTTTGAGGAATTAATTTGGTGTATATATCATTTATGCTATGGTTTGGGGATTAAAAAAATATACCTATAAATCTGAGGTTATAAGGGAATAATAAATATTAGTTTATAAGGCATTATTCTTAATTGCTGGATTTAGGTATTTTTATTTTTTGTTTATATTAAGCCTGCAAAACTATACGATTGGACATTTGAATTTGAATTAATATATCCATTCGTTTGAAATGTAACTGATCCTTATTTGTAGTAAAACATGTGTTTTTTTTAAAAAAAAAAATTATATAACTTCTAATTAAAAGAGATTTACACGTGACAAAAAGACTTCTGAAATCTGAAATATGGTGCATTGGAGCAAAAACAGATGCATATGTAGTTGCCACATAAGCTTCATGTCTTCTGCTTTAATAAGGTAAAAGGGATCATTTATTGGGTAATTAAATTTCATGCACTTGGTGCACCACTTCTTATACCACATCTAAATAACTCAATTTAAATATTATAAATTTTATCAATATTGGTCCAATTGATTAAACCATTTGCATTATTATGATTTTTCCCTTAAGGGTTTACTTTTTTCGGGGTTAGGGTCTATTTATTCTAAAATTTGAGATATAAAAATATGCAAAATGTCTATACAATTAATAAAAAATAATTAAATTTAATTATTAAATTTCATCCAATAATTAAGTGTCATGTAAGGTGAGATACAATGGTGAGATGAATTAGGTAAATTGTGTATCATTACTCTTATTTAATTATCGTATGATAAACTACCTATTTTTACAGATACAATAGAGTATTAACTATTAAGTAATCCATTTGTTTTAAAATGATTGTCCAGTTTGTATTTTTATTTTTATTATAATTTATAGAATTGAATCTCTAAACTGGATAATGATTTCAGCGGCCAGATAGAGTATATGACTTATTTTGCGTAATGTTACTTGTAAACTAGTTATCAAAGGATACAAGTTAACCGCTCGTGTTTTCAAGTTAATCATTCAATTGTAATCAATTTATTCTCTTCAAAAATAATAGAGCCGAACATTGAAGAAACTAGAGACCATAGATACTTTTTGTCTTTGTCACAAAATGATGTCCTGTTTGTTTTACTTTTTACTATATAATTTTGAGTCAGAAAGTAATTTTTTAATGAAAATCTATGGAAGCTGTTCCTTTTCTTTTTCTTTTTTCTTTTTACCTTTTCCAATTATCATTAATAATAATTAATACTTCCTCCATCTGGAAATTATTGTCCACTTTGAATTTTTATTTTTAGTTCAAATTGTATTAATTGTGAAATCTCAAATTGGACAATAATTTTAAGACAGATGAAGCATATCTTTTTGTTCACTAAAGGAATAATGGTTTAAAAGTTGTACTTTAAAGGGATCAGACAATGCATAATTGACGTAACAAATTTCTTATCTTCTATTCAAAATATTTCAGAACCTGCTACAAAATTAACTTCTTGTAACAGGGCTACACAGCTGAATTAATCAAGCGTTTATAAAGAGGAGATGTCGGAGATGGATCTGTTTTAGTATCGACAGTCAATAATTTGTAATTTTGATATGGACTCGTGAATCTGTCCTACGTAGAGTTATATGATTATTCCAAATAAACCTGTTTAACTAAACATTTTTAAAAAAGGAAAATCAATCTTCAAACCACACAAACATATTCTTTCTAAGGAAGAAAAATGAAAAGATAAAAAGGAAAAACACACGTAAAATTTTACTATGCAAGGATCTCGTCTGGCTTGCATTCTCTGAATTTGACCACGGTGTTCTTTGCCCCAATGTCATAAGAGATGTCACAACACTCACATTTGCTTGTCTGTTCAAACAAGAAATCAATCAGAATTTATTTATATAGAATTATTTCCATACAAAAAGGAAAGGTCGATTGTCTAGACGTAATTGTTTTATTGGAGTTTAAATTAATTCCCCCAGTTTAAAATTTTCACTTAAGTAAATATAATTATTACGGGACATAAGAAACATGCACTTTCACATAAAATTGTCTTATAAGAATTTCAAATTATTCCCACAATTCGTTATAATCCTAAAGCGAATGGAAATCAAGTCTTAAAGTAAAAATCGAGTATTTAATGTGAATAGCCATATTGCATCAAATTTTGACTTTCTATCCCCTGGAACGAAAATTTCAAGTTTGATGATGACTACTTGGGAACTTTTCTTCTTTTTCTTCTTCTTCTTCTTCTTCTTCTTCTTCTTCTATTTTTTTTTTTAATTTTTTTTTTTTGGTTACATACTTAGAAACTTTTCAAAAAACTAAATTTAGTGGTGTACCAAGTTAAGACTCAAATGAAATTCAAATGGATAAGGGTATAAATTAGTATCCAAAGGGGAGAAAAAAGAAGAAACTGGTTAAGGACAAAACCGTAGAAGGGAAAAAAAAAAAAGAAATTATAAATACCTTGGTGCGCGCTGATGATGGTGAATAAACATGCACGTGGGAAACGTAATCCGCCGGAAGGGCACCGAAACACTGCGGTAAATTCCTCGGCCACGCTCTGTAGTAGCTCGTGAGAATCACCGAATCATTCGACAACTTCTGAACGGATTCGAAGAAGAACACGTGCGGCGTTTCGCACGGATCGTTCTGTTTGACCCGAGTATTGAACATGAAGTGAGGCGGATCCGGATTCGGACCGACCCATTTTCGGAACGTCTCGATGGCCGTTTGTAGCCAACTTCGAGGCATTATTGTTTCGTAGAGGTTGACGGAGTAACCCCAAGAAACGGAAACGGACCATCTGTGTTGCCTGTGGTAGCAAATTGTTTGTTGCAACATACGCGATTGATCGGCGTTTGCGCCTTTCATGAGGTGGCGGACGGCTTCGGTGCGGTCCACGAAGGGGAATACTGGGTCTACTTCATCAAAGTGATGAAGGGATAGTAATGGTGTCTTTGGATGAGCTGATAAAAAACCCGAAATGTCTCCATACATATCAACCTAGCCATTTCAAAAAAAAAAATAAAAAAATCAACCCAGCAAGATGAATCCCATAAAAAAATATTGTAAAATGTTAGTGTCACTCATTTTTGTTCTTAAAAAATAATCTATTTTTGTTTATGAATTAAATGTGTTATTTTTTTTTTCGGATCAAGGAGTAACCAGTGTGGAGGATAATATGAAATCAGATATTTAGGCCAAAAACTACAAAATAGCATGGTTTTTCACAGGATCTCGTTGGAGGATGATGCTAAAACCAATTTTAACGGTAAAGATTTATTGAAGAACATCAATACTGAAACAGATAACTTTGTCGTATGCAAGGGGGCGATTTGGACTTAAATGTATACAATTTCGACAAATAATTCTTTTGGGACACAAAATCTTACATTGCCTATGTGAAGGATTTGCCTTGTATATAAGTTCCGTAAATCATCAGACGCATTACCAAATAGATTTTAGATTGCTTTAATCATTTTTAGAACATAAAAAAGATTTTAGGTATCTTTTGAAACGCCTCGCTTTGACAGATTTTTTTTTTTTTTTAATTTGGGGGTACCTTAGATACCCTAATATATATATATGAAAGAGAAAAAATGGAAAATAAGGAAAAAAAAAAAAACCACTTTGGTGGATTACTCAACAATTCTATATGCAAATTTACCTGATGAAGACCTTTTTGTTGAGACAAATCTACACCAAGATCTGCAATGCAAGACATAGTGATTATATCAAAAGTATTCCGATAGGCATATCTCTTAAGGCAACTTTCCATGTCACCAGCTAAAGCTTCTGCAAGAGGGTAACTCAATATGATCCCAGCTCCACCAAATCCCATATTAAAAGAGAACCAAAAATTTGACTTTATATAATCCGATTGGCACCCAATATAGTAGTAATCCGTATGATCGTAATGAGAAAGAACATTAACCAAATTATCAACGAAAAATACAGTATCATCATCACCTAAAACCAGCCATCTAAACCCTTCTTCATCCCCTTCTCTAAGTACTTCCTTAATCGTGTGAACCAACCGAATGACAAAAGGTACCGCCGGTTGAATATCTTGAACCAATTTTTCGATATTTTCGGAGATCCTATACGGTGGCGAAGCGTCTGACCACGGCAAAAGATCACCACTTGGGGGGACGTCGAGGTAGATGAAACCCCGAGTCGCGTTAGGCCGCCACCAAGCTTCGCCGTAACCCTTTCTATGGTGCCATGCGGCCTCCGAGCCCATGAGTGCAAATAGAAGGTGACTAATATTTGTGGAAGAATATTCAGTATTATTACTAGTAGTAGTACTCATGTTTGGTTCTAAAATGGCTTCCTCTATACCACTATTATGAGAAGAATTGGAATCCATGATTAGATGTTTGAAGTTGGCATAATAAAATGTGAAACACAAGAAATAAACTACTACTACGGAAATCAGTAGGATTTTGTATGGATAGGCAATGTTAAGAATGTTGTGAGAGAGTTTCTCCTTGACTACTCCAGATTTTGAAGGAAAGGGAGATGACATCTTTGATTAGTTTTTCAAATGAACCCAAATTTTTTCAATAAAATTGATAAATAGATACCAACTAATGGAGATTTAACTATGCTGGAAACTAATTAGGATTATAGAGTCGGCGTGTGACTATATAGACATCCTTACCTAGTTACTTATTAGTATCGCTTCTCTATATAGGTTTGCCTACAATCATCAATGTTTTTGTACAATTTTTGAAATGCTGGACGAGGAAGGCAACTGTTTTTTTTCTACATTTCATATTGCACTTCAAAATGGCTGTTTAATTTTTTGAACAATTTGCATAGTAACAGAAAGTTTTCTTTAACTAGTTTAACGTGATTAATAATTGAAATGTAAGAACCACGTATGTATTTTTCAAGGACGGTATATACTCTCTTCGTCTCAATTGACGGTACAGTTTGGATTTTAATTTTTAGTAAAAATAAACTATTAAAGAGTCTCAATCCCACATCAGTGTTGGGAGACTTGAAATATCAATATATAAGTTTCATGGGCTATTCCCCTCATAACCAATTGGTTTTGAGGTAGAATCTCACGCGCTTCTGTATGGTATCAGAGCCAGCTCGCTGATATCTAGACTCCAAAAAATCCTAACAAAAAAAAAAAATATAGGGCTGAGACGTGAGCGGTGCTTGAGTTGAAAAAATAGGACAAGTCTAACCCAAAAACTACGTTGGACTTGCGGGGGGAGTATTAAAGAGTCTCAATCCCACATCAATGTTGGGAGACTCTGAGTATCAATATATAAGCTCCATGAGCTACTCTCATCATAGCCAATTGGTTTTGAGGTGGAACCCATGAGCTTCTCCATAAACTAGACCATCATTGCAGGATGAGAGTAGTACTTACGAAGAACTAACGCATCTAACGAACGTCTTTTGACCACTTCCTTAATTACTACTGACGGATCTACCGAATATCCTTCGATCACTTCCTTAATTACGGCTAACGCATCTAACGAATGTCCTTTGATCGCTTCCTTAATTACTACTACAGTTCTAGCTTGCTGTGATCTAACTACCATGCATGGAATAAAATTTATACATCTACATGTCCCTTTTGGACTTCAACTAAAAGCTTCGGCCTATCAAATGTAGATCCATTGTCCACACTATATATCACCTATACTGCCAAATCCTAACATTTTAATTCTTGTTGTCTAAATAGATATACAACATTCATGAGTAGAGATAGAGAGTGAATGAGATAATAAATGTGACTTGTTATTATTATGAGAACATGAGTTCAAATTCTGATGGCCAACCTAATTTTGAAGGGGAAAATTTGATAGATTCATGCGAATAAAGTGTGACCAATGGTCAAACTAAGCACTTTTTTTTTTCCTTCACTTTGCTCGATAATGGATCCTCAATCCTACGCCCACACAATCAGTATTACATGTATAATCGTGACGAAAGGCAATTGAGGGAATAATAAGAAGGCGACAAATTACTATGTATGAAAGTTAAAGGGCAAAAGGTAAGTGATAACATAAATGTTTGATTTGAATTCATTTTATTACTTCGGGCCCATATTTACTTGCCTACCATTCTACCAATGAGGCCAGGGTCTAACTTTTAAACTGCAGCTTAAACCTAGTTTGCACTATTTAGAGTACTCGAAGATTAGTTCATTTTCTTTAGCCTCCACCAGAACGTTCTTGGATTCGCCGTACTACTGTTAGCGGTAAGTATATAGCTTATTAATACAACCTAAATGGATCCGTCGCGAAGCTTTTCATTTATTAGAAATTTGCATTTACGAAATTTGTCTCCGAGTTCATTACTCCAGTATTAAAAGATTCACAACAAATCAGTCGTAAAAAATATTTCCTCCGTCTCAAAATAATTATTTTATTTGATTTTTTATTTTTAGTATTTGAGTCAATCATGAAACATGATTTCTGGCCGGAACGGGTACTTAGCTGCAAGCAAAAAGGCTGGTATTATCTCGCGCCGACCAGCGAACAAAGTTTTCTGATTCCAGCGACCCAATCCAGCGAGGCGATAGATTTTGGTTCAAGGTTTAATAATTTTATATACTTGTGAACCAAATTATTTGGCACAAAATGATCATAAAAAGTCACGAACTCACGTTCATAAAGAAACTGCAAAACTTGACAATATTTGTTGGGCTAGTTTTCCGCAGCTGAATTAGGAGTTGGTATGGGCTGCATTGAAGCAGCAGTAGAATGTGCCGAAGATAGGGTGGTAGGATTGGATTTAAAATAGAAAACCGAGAACCAAAGTGATTATGATGGAGTGGAAGGGACTCCTCCACCCTTAACTATAATCAAAGGTTCGAATCTCGCCATGGGTATGGAGCAACTTTAAATATACAAAATAAAAAAAATAATAAAAAAAATTAAAAAATAGACAACCAAGTTTGATTACTTGGAGAAGGATTGTGAACCGACTTGGATACAGAAGACTATAAAAAAGAATCGGCGATAGGAGACAGCACACAATCAAACTAACAACAAATTGTTGTTCTTAATTTTCATTTTTATTTTCTTTTCGATTTCTTCTAAAAAATTTATGTTCATCAAGAACTCATTGTAATAGGCCGATGCTTGGCGGCTGGACAAGCTATTCAACTATTTCAATAAAATCAGGCCAACAACCGATTTTAAAACAAAGGATTGAATTCTCTAGTATTTTTCATTAATTTCGGCACGTAGAGTAGAGAACAACGCATAATCGTTTGAGATATTTTACATAGTTCTTTAGGGCAAAATTTGTGTAAACAATATTATTCGTATGATGCCTTGGAAAATTCCACATGAAAAACATAACATTTCTGTTCCAAAAAGACGCCACGTTGAATTTTGAGTTTTAAAATTTTGTAATAAAAATGGTGCAAATCTCAAAACTCAGTATTGATTATTATTATTATTATTATTTGCGCAAGAGGTTGTAGTACATTAGTCTTTAGTGTGTGCAGTAGCCAATTGATCAATAATTGCAGCACCTCATGTTTAAACTGTTCTTGTCAACTTCGTACAAACTTATACTCCCTCCATCCGATAAAACAGTTCATGTTGAAAATCACAAAACTCAATGTGCATCATTTGTTGGGACAGAGGAGTACAAAGGAAGCCACGAAGATGAGGCTGTATAATATGGTCTTCACCCAAAAATCTCTTAAATGGCGGAATAATCAAGCAGAGTGCAAATGCAATGCAAAGTTGATTAAGATAGAAAGATAATGCATATTCGGTCTGATAAATTATAGAAACTAAACCTTAACTAACCTGAAATTCATTTCAAGTGCACCAAAAGTTGATATAATCTCGAATACAAAATGTTATGTCATTATTCGAAGCGTCTCTCATGTGTCCTCTCGCTCTCCTCCGATTTCTTCTTTTATCTTTGCTATTGAGGATGTTGCTGTCATCATCAGAACCAGATTCCCCGGATGGTATTGATTATTGAGGCAGCTTTTCGTTTGTGCTTTAAGAGTAGCGGAATTATTGTACCCAAATAGACTCGCATATTCTTAGTAATTAATGGACCTAAACCTATTGCGCCAAAAGAAATTGATAGAAAACCTGACGTTCTTCTCAACGTCCGCTGAATATTGTTGCAGAATAGTTTATGCATTGGGTAGTTTATTTGTTTTTCTTTTCTAAATTCTTTTTCTTTTTCTTTTTCCATTTCTATCTTCTGCAATTAATTTAACTCTATAAATACTAAAGTTCATTAATTAATTTGACGTAGCTGAAACAGAGGGAAGAACTCAGCAGTAAATAAAAGTCCGAACCTCTTGGATTAAGGAAGTAAATAAAATTCCGGACCTCTTTGATTAAGGAAAACAATACGATTTTAAATCTAAAGAAGAAGAAGAAGAAGAAGAAAGCAATGTGAATTTAGAATAAAAATGTTTCAATAGAACATAGTAAACGAAATGCAAGTTAGGATTTAATTAATCTCCAGATTGAGAACCTTTACATTCAACATCTTTCAACTTGTTACATTGTCCAATATTGTCCACAATGCGCACGCTGATAGTATGAGAAAACAACTTTCTTCATATTCTTCAAACTCGTAAATGTGCTCATTCCGTCCCAAAATACTTGTTAAGCAATAATTTCACCCGGCATACATTCTCTGAATTTTACAATCGCGTTTTTCATTCCCTTTGTACTCTCAATGTCGCAACATTCACATCTATCTTTCTGAAAAAGTGACAGTGAAAGAACATGTTGTCAACAATTAATTACTGAATCATTGTACATGATAAATGTATTGTCTATATCATTATTCATATTGTAATTAAATAATTGATATACAGAATGTAGGGCAGATTTTCTTACTCACCTCAATTGGCTTTGTCGCGGGTGAATGGACATGTATATGTGTAACATAATCCGCAGAGTGTTCACCGTCGACGCAAGGTGGCAAATCCCTCGGCGAGGACCGATAATAACTCGAAAGGACGACAAAATCCTCGTCATCAGACGGCGGCTTCTCGATCGATTCAAAGAAGAACACATGAGGAGCATCACAAGGTTCTCTTGAAGGCAACCGAGTGTTAAACCTATAAAATGGTGGATCTGGATTGGAAACCCACGGTCCAAAAGTTTGGAGAGGGAGTTGTAACAAACTCCGAGGCATTATTTTCTCGTAAATATGAACCGAGTAGCCCCACGATACTGAAATCGTCCAGTTATGTCGCCGGTGGTGGCAGATTGTTTGTTGCATCAGTCGCGATTGTTGACCACCGGCGATATTCCCGGCTTTCATCAAGTGGTTAATGGACTGAATCCGATCCATGCCCGGGAAGATTGGTTCCACGGCGTCGAAATTGTGAAGAGACACTAAGGGAGTCATTGGGTGAGATGACAACAGCCCAGAAATGTCCCCATGTAAATCAATCTAGAAAAACAATGAAAAAATAATTAGGATATATTCAACAGATACTTTTTCCCACCCAGAAAAATAATCTACCTTGTTGTACTGAAAACGAGTAAATCAATTTTTTTTTTTTTAATTTGAGAGAGAAAGAGCTTAATTAACCTGGTGTAAACCTTTGTGGGGAGAGAGATTAACTCCAATATCAGCAACACAAGACATTTCAATGAAATCTCCAGTTTCTAATTGTGAATATCTCCTAAGACAACTTTCAAAATTCTGTGCAAAAGCTTTAGCCAAAGGATAGCTCAACACAAACCCTGCTCCTCCAAAAGCCATATTAAATGACAACAAAAAATTGGTTAAAATAGACTCAGAAACCCCACCTATGTACCAATACTTGGTGTGATTAAATTCGGATAAAACATCGACCAAATTGTCAACAAAAAACACTGTATCATCATCTCCCATGACCAGCCATCTAAAACTTTCAGTCTCAGTTTTTCCTTCCTCCTCTTTAAGTATTTCATAAATGGCATGCAAAACCCTAGCTAACGTCGGTACTGCCGGTTTGATCTCGTTTATGAGCTCCGTTTGGTCATCCAAAACCCTAAAGGGAGGAAAAGATGACGGCCAAGGGAGAAGGTCTCCGGTCGGGGACTGATCGAGATATAGGTATCCTTGCGTGAAGTTTGGCCTCCACCAAGCCTCGACGAAACCTTTTCGGCCACGCCACGTCACTTCCGACCCAACAATTCCAAACCGGAGGTGATTAATGTTGGTAGGAGAAAGGTCTTGATAATCATCATTTGTACTACTGTTTGGTTGATGAAGGATTTCCTTTGACGTTAAATCAGGAATGCTATTTGTTGGCCTTTTGGGGTGATCTGAGGAATAGAATGTGTAACATGAATAAGAGACTAATGCTCCACAGATCAATACGGTTTTCCATGAAGTGCACAAAAGATTGAACAAAGATTGCCTTCCTTTAGTTTGAACATGTTTTGTTCCAACAGAGGAGGACATCTTTGATGATAAGTACGAGTTAGGAACTTTAAAATACAAATTTGAAGAAAGTGGCAAGATAAATTAGTGAATGGAATTCTCCATGGTAGTTCGGTGGCTATAATTTTTTGTTAAGTTTAGTACCTACCAAGCTAGCTAATAAGATTCAGCCAAACTATAGTTAGGTACAATAGTTTTTGTTTTCTCTTGGTAAGCATACTACTAAAACACACGTCAGAAACTAATTGCGCAGCAATTCATTAATTATAAATTTGTACCTTTGGCCAACGTAAATCGTGTTCGATAATGCACAGTCATCTAATGGTTTTAGTAGAATTACACACATCATCGGCTCCAATTGAAAATTCTTCTATTCGGATATTAAATGTCTTGTACATTAAATTTATCGAATTAATTTTTGAAATTTGTACTATTTTTAACATAAATATTAAAATTCAATGTTGATTGTTTTTTTCGAATTGAGGGAGGATTTGTCATAGTTAAATAATACAAAAGGCAAGTCCGTCCAAAAATATCAGAACGCACGTAAAGTGTTGTTTTAACTGTCTTATTGATTTGAAATAATATTGGTCCGGTTGTATCTTAAGTAATACACAAATATTAGAAGAGTAATGGGTGATTTATGAAAGTTATACTTCTTAAATTTTTAGAGTGTTAGGAATCTATAGATGCATAGTATTCCCTCCGACCCTAATTATAAAGTGTAAATTAATAATAAAATTGGTTCAAATTTGTACTTTATTATTAGGATTGGAGGAAGTTTTTCCATCAAAATTACATCACATGACCATCAAAGAACATAACAATAATTTAAAAAGTACAGGCCATAGAAATTATATAGCCATCAAAATTATCGCATAACAATGAAAAAACAAAGGGCATTAGGATCAAAATCATATAGGTCGTTCATCAAAATTAAAACGCATGACCGTAAGAAAAGTAGAAGAGATATGTTCATAATTCTTTTTTTTCGGGGGGGAATTTCAGTTTCATTAAATAAAAACAAAATCAGTACAATCAATACAGCAAAAATAATGAGGAGACTCTCCCAAATATCTCTAACAAACTACCAAGCAATCTTTGAAATGCATTGAATTACACGCACTTCTAAAGAGGCAGTTAAATTCATCATAATCAACCTATCTCAAACAATATTAATAGCCAATCTAACAATAATATCTGGCGGACAACTTATAGATCTAAACCTACGATTGTTACGCTCCTGCCAAATCAAATACACAATTGTAGATAACATCAAACGATAAGCAACATTAACAATATGTTTGTCTCTGCACCTGTTGGAACCCCTCACAATGCCTTGGTGCCAACTTGAATATGGCCAAAGGAATTTGACCTCTCTTTTTAAAATAAACAAACACCTGACTGAATAATGACACTGAAATAATAGGTGATCATGTGACTCATCAACATCATTACACAAGATACAAACCTGATCATGTCCGGAAAGCCATTGTTTATCAAGTGTAGGTAAGCGTTCTTGGATGGCAAGCCAAAGAATAAAATTGTGTCTTGGAATTTTTCCTGATCCGTGGAGTAAACTCGTCCAGGATTGAATCGGGCCACTGATTCTGAAAATTTTTAGATACGGAGTACAAAATGAAATCAACAAAATACTGAAAAATGTATCAATTACTTAAAGAAAACCGCAAGATACATTTTTTTTTCTTATTTAGAAATATATATATTTAGAACCAGTAGTAGATTTGATAATTTTGTTTGTTTGCATTTCATTTTTAACCTATTTTTGTATTTGGGCTAGTATATTGTGTGGATGTGGGTCAAAAACCATATCATTATTGTATGGACGGGACTACTTTTAACTTACTTTCCTTATTGGTTGGGCTTTTGACTTGAATCTTAAATGTATATCATTATTATTTTTCTTAAAAGTTCGACCATGCTCAATGTCATGCCCGCCAAAAATATTAAGGTGATTATATTCGAATTTGGGGAAGTAAAGAGGGCGACAACGTCGTTTGGATTAGTGATATTGCCCCCCCAGATCATTTACGGATTTGCCCCCTGAAGTGGGGGTCCACAGGTGTTGTCCCATTGGGACCTATAAATACTCTTTGTACATTTATTGTTAGGGCAATTCCACACTACCATTTCTCTCTCTAAGTGTGTTAATTGTCTGCTTCACTCTCTAGCACTAACTTAATCTTCGGAGTGCTAACCCTCGTCTTGCAGGTTCTCGTTCGGGTTGGATCGTTGACTCCACGCCTCCGGGATTTACCCTCGATAAGTGGCGCCGTCTGTGGGAAATCGGTTTATTCTCATTTGGCCGAGGGTGAGCCCAAGTGCTCTACGAAATTTATGGTCTCCACCCGGACGAGGCCCGACGAGGGAACGAGTTGCAGGCTTGGATTGAGGTCGAAGGTGGTGGGAGAAGTTCCCGCATATCTCCCAGATCCCTGGGGGATCGCCGGAGCAAGGAAGATACCGGAAGAGCTTCTCAGACCAGTGATCATCAGAGCCGCTCCAGGAGGCCTAGCGACCCTTGCAAGGATCGCAGCCATGATTCAGCCGAACACGGGAGGAGCCGGTCCCGTTGGACTAGTAAAGAAGCGGGAATGAATAAAGAGCCATCAGGGCATCCTCGTCCGTCCCGTTCACCTGAACGAGAACCCATGATGATCATTTCTAGAAGACCTTTGCTGGGAGGTTCCCTGGGTTTGAGGAGCAATTCCGTAAATTTGAAGATATGTATTATGAAGGAAAGGGCGAGGGCCCAGACGACAGCCTTATGTTCATGGGGGAAGGAAAGGTCCCCCGGGGTCGTGACCGATCCAGGGAGCGGGATCCAGAACCCCTACCAAGACCTGAGCGCGGGTAGACCACGAGAGTGTGTCAGATCTCCGGCTCGAGGCTATACTTAACAGTAGAGAATTGCTTGGAAGCCCTTTCGCCGAACACATCAGGCATTGTCCACGGCCCATAAACTTGAAGCTACCGACGGATATTCCTAAATACGGAGGTGATACGTGTCCGGTTAGCTTCTTGGCAGATTACACCGCAGCCAGGGACTTGTGGGATTCACCCCAGGAGTTCTTTGCTAAAGCAATGCCCACCTTCCTGACTGGGGATGCCAAGATTTGGTTCGATAGTCTACCCCCGGAGAGCGTTACTTCCTACGTGGATTTGGGGCGAAAGCTTCATGTTCGGTTCTTTTCCAGCAAGAGGGCCCGGTGCACCATCCACGACTTGTCATCGGTTTGGCAGTGTCGAAACAAGATGTTAGGACAGTATTATGAACGGTTCACGAAGGAGCTCATAATGATAGATCAAGTGGATGACTTAGTGGTGAGAGTGGAGTTCGTGAATGGCCTCTCCCCTTTTGGTGCGGGTGCAACCCTGAGGGGTAAGCTCACGGCTAAACCCCCGGCCACCAGCCAGAAGTTATAGGAGACGGTAGAGAAGGAGATTCGGACGGATGAATCCATGAAAAGAGCCAGGGAAGCCTTTGGAGAAGGCGAGAAGAAAGCTAGAAAGCCGGAGGCAAAGAAGCTCAACATAGGATCTCCCAAGTTCGAGTTGAAAGCCCCTACTCTTATTGAAATCAGGAAGGAGATTCTTCAAATCCATAAGAATGAGTTCAAGCTTCCATCCCCGGGCAAATCACAGAATGAGTCCTCTTCCGAATGTGCGATTTTCATCGAAGCAAGGGACGTGATACCGAAGACTGCTACCGGTTGAAGAAGGAGATTGAAGAGGGACTTAAGGCGGGTAAGTTCCAGGATTGTGTCCAGAAGGGGTCCGAGGAAAAGACGGCTAGCCAACCCAAGAACCGACGGTGGAAGAAGAACAAGGGTAAGGTTGCCAATCAAGTCCTCGCTAGTGACGGGACCAAAGCTCAGGACGATGTTAACCCGGCACAAGCATGTTAGATTTTAGCCGCTCCTGTGGGCGCTATATACAGAGTGCCCTTGGGGTTCAGAGTATTTCTGCCCTCTGCAAAAATGCGCGTCCTAGTCCGCCGGGTGAATCCGAGGCTAAAAGGCTTCATCCAGAGGAGTTGATTACTTTCTCAGAGCAAGATTTGTGGGTGGTTCCGAGGATTATTCGGATGCTTTGGTTATTACAGCCATTGTGGCCAACCGAGAAGTTCGGCGTGTGTATGTTGATAATGGTAGCGCTGTCAATGTCATGTATTTTGATTGCTTCCAGAAGTTGGGCCTCGATAAAACCCAACTCTGGCCCTTGGCCATGCCCTTGGTTGGCTTCTCTAACCATGTGATAATGCCCCTGGGCATAATCAGTCTAGCAGTAACCGTAGGGACGTTTCCCAAAGATCGGGTTATCATGGTCGACTTTGCGGTGGTGGACGTCGTAGTCCCCTTTAACATTATCCTGGGACGGTCGTGGATGAGTCCCCTTTAACATTTATTCTTTGTACCACTTGGTCATGAAGTTTCCAATCGATGCCGGGTCGCATAGGTTCGGGGTGATCAACAGTTGGCTCGACACTGCATGAAGATTGCTACCCAGAAGGGGCACGAATTCCTCCTTAGAGTGCAACCGTCGAAGCCATCCAAAAGGCTCCAGTTTCTGAGGAGGATGAGGATCAAGAGAACAACGGCTCTGGTCCCTTGGATGACGGGGTCGCGGACGTTGCCCTGAATCCTTTTGTTGAAGGAAAGGTCATCAACTTGGGAGCTGTTCTGCCTCTTAGTCTTCGGGATATGGTGATTGAGTTGCTGAAGCAATTTGAGGACATCTTCGCTTGGAGCCCCAGCGATATGAAAGGGGTTCCTCCTGAGTTGGGCGTTCATAAGTTAAATAATGATCCCAGCGCGCGGCCCATTCAACAAAGGAGGCGGAAGATGGCCCCCGAGCGCAGCGCTGCTGTCCATGTTGAAATTGCGAAGCAATTGGCCGCGTCCATAATTAGGGAGATCTTCTATCCCACATGATTGGCCAACCCTGTTATGGTCAAGAAGCCTGACACTTCCTAGCGTATGTGCGTGGATTATAAGGATCTCAGTAAACACTGCTCTAAGGATTGTTACCCTCTTCCAGCAATCGAGCAGAAGGTGGACGCTATCTCGGGATATCCCGTA